AGGGTGTTTCCACCAAATTGCCATGTGATTCCATCCTCTTCTGAACAAAAAAGATAATTTTATGAATTAATTCTCTTTGATTCAAAATCAATAGAATTAACTCATAAGAAAAATGAGAAATGAGAAATAATTTTTTCAAAATTCAAAATCTGCCAGATACTTATCCCAAAAGAATAGGGACAACATTTATATTGTTATTGCAAATTTACCATATAATATCAGCCTATACAATACAATTATTTTGATTACATAAAAGCATGGGAAAATTTTTTATTTCTTAGACTAGACACCCATTCCTGATTCATTTGGTTCCGGAAGGGAATTTTTTTACATTTTCCAAAATAGTTTTCTGCCTGGTTTCACAACTTTGGACCAGTCAAGGAAATTCTACCAGGAAAAGCACAAAAAACCAACTTCCAAGAACCATATAAATTCATTACATTTATTGCCTCCCAAGGCATTTCTTGGATCATGATGTGGCAGTATGATTCTGCTAAATTAGAGTATGATTCATCTGTCCAACTATTAATTCGAACAACAAAAAGTAAAATGGTGGGTTAACTTTGATCTTGGCCTGCTAGAAATTAAAAAATTAAATCAGTGGTTACAAAATAATATACAAAGTCTAAAACTTAGCGAGGAAATCCTTAAAGAAAAGCAAAGCCAGGAATTTCTTCAACAAAAGGCAAGATTTCTAGCCAGCCTGAGTGCAGCTAGTTCTGAAGAAGAATTCAAAAAGATCATCGACACCATATCTCCAGAAGTCACCAATGCAACCTCTGAAAGAGATAGAAGAAGTCTAAGTCCAACAGAAGATGATGACTACGGCTTTTTCGACAATGGAGATGATTGCTATGGAATATCTCTGTAGCAAAATTTCCAAAAGAAGAAGACAAGATTTGACAACAAGTTGACAAGTGAAACGACAAAAGAAAAAAGGTGACAAATGAAATGACAAAAAGAAAAGAAGATTTGACAAAAGAAGAAATAATTGTGAAAGAAGACAAAATGAATAAAGCTTGAAGAGACATTACCAGATAAGAAGGAATCCTACAATAGAAGTTTCCTCTCTATAAAATGTAAGCTCTGCTTCATTTGAAAGCACGAACAAATTACCAGCCCCAATAGTTTTAAGAAAAACCCTCTTCCAAATTTTTATTATAAGATTTCAATTTCTTTGAAAGATTGTACAAGAAGTCTCGCCATACTTGTAAGTTTTATCAAGTTTTCAATATATTGATTTCAAGTTCTATCATCATCATGTTTTTCATTTTTCTATCAATATACGATCCTCACCACTTTGGTATCAGAGCGTAAAGGGGTTCTGATTTCAAGAGGGGAGAGAGAGAGTATTTATGCAATGCTATTTTACATTTTTGACTTTGGTGAATTTGAATTTTATCATACTTTTGATATAAGAAGAAAACTAAAAGAAACCAGAAAGCTTTATAATCAAACACAAAATAGTATTTAGAAAAAAAATTGTCTTTTCGATATCATAGAATATAAGAAAGATTTCAAGGTTTTGGCGAGAGCCTGATTTTCTTCATCTGCATAGCATTCATCCTGTAAGTATCTTTTTGTCATATCCTGAGTTAATTATTAATTGTTCAATATAAGTCTGTTATTAAGAATCCAAATGGGTAGTAGTGAGAGCTGTGTGTACGTTGGTAAGCCTGGAGGGTTTTCCCGGTAGTAAGTCCTGTGTGTGGGCAGTGAAACTGTTGGTAAGCCTTCGTGTTCCCGTAGCCTTTAGAATTCAAGATGGAAAATTCATTAAGAACAATGAGTAATTTAGCTTTAGGTAAAAACAAAGGGATAATTACAAGAGTAATGAGAGCAAAAGATGAAAATTCTTCCTCTTCCCAAAGAACCTCTTCTTCCTCTTCAACAACACCACAACAGATTACCATAGATGATATTGAAAAATTCCCACATGATTGGTCAATACCTATAGTTAAAGAAAAAGATGTATACAAAGATAGATTTGTTTGGTCGTTTAGAAATAATCATGAACAAATTCACAAAATAGAAAATATTCATATCCTAGAACAACGGGAAATAAAGAAATACAGCTTTTAGAAGATCAACTTATATAAAAACATTGACAAGAAGGTTTTAAGTTTATCCATATAAGACTAATTCAATTAGCAGTTAAACCAAACTTCAAGTTAGGAGTAGATCTCCCTATACTTATACTGTTAAGAGATATGAAACTACAACATAAGAGTGATTTAATTATAGCAGCTTTAGAAAGCAACCTGCATGATGCGCCGGTTTTCTTTAACTGCTATCCTAACATATCAATGTCTTTAGACAATGAAAAAACATCTAAAGCCATTAAGATATTTACAAAAATAAAAGGAAACATAGTGGATGACTCATTTGATCCATTTCATGTGATCTATAGAGTCTATTACAAAATTACCAAAATTTCCTATGGATTCAAAGCAAATAAACAAATCAATAGGGATGAAACTATAGTAATACAAGCCAACTTAAATAGAAGTTTAGTACAAATCCCTAAAAGATTAAGACATGATCAACTAACTATACCAGAAGAATGGGTTTTCAAAGAACCCTCTTCTATTAAAAAAGAACACACGGAAATAAGAGATGTGATAGAGGAACCAGATAGGTTTTCAATCATGTGGGGATTTTTCAATATCATCTATGCTAATTTGTTGTGGTGTTGTTGAAGAGGAAGAGGAGGTTATTTGGGAAGAGGAAGAATTTTCATCTTTTGCTCTCATTACTCTTGTAATTATCCCTTTGTTTTTACCTAAAGCTAAATTACTCATTGTTCTTAATGAATTTGCCATCTTGAATCCTAAAGGCTACGGGAACACGAAGGCTTACCAACAGTTTCACTGCCCACACACAGGACTTACTACCGGGAAAACCCTCCAGGCTTACCAATGTACACACAGCTCTCACTGCTACCCATTTGGATTCTTAATAACAGACTTATATTGAACAATTAATAATTAACTCAGGATATGACAAAAAGATACTTACAAAATGAATGCTATGCAGATGAAGAAAATCAGGCTCTCGCCAAAACCTTGAAATCTTTCTTATATTCTATGATATCGAAAAGACAAATTTTTTTCTAAATACTATTTTGTGTTTGATTATAAAGCTTTCTGGTTTCTTTTAGTTTTCTTCTTATATCAAAAGTATGATAAAATTCAAATTCACCAAAGTCAAAAATGTAAAATAGCATTGCATAAATACTCTCTCTCTTTCTCTCCTCTTGAAATCCAATAAATCTAAGCGTAGTGCTAGGTGTATTGGTTTTTTTTTGGAAAGGGAGTGTGTGCGAGTTGTTAATTTCAAAGAATAGATTGGATCCAACCAATTGCACTTTTTTTTCTTTATAACTAAGAAAATGTGCATAATCCCGCGAATTACTTCTCAATAAATTTTTTTTTTTGAAAAAAAAATTAAGAACCATAGCATTTCGTTATTCATTAGTAAATCCACTTTGATTCTCTATTAATCCAAAATTTTGGATTATTACCATGGTTAAAGTAAACAATTTAAAGTCTAGACGTAGTGTAGTACTCTTTCTACCACTATGTTAATACAGAAATGAAATGATTTCAAAAAAAATTTTACAATTTTTCGATATAGAACACTCATGTCGATAAAACAGCTTGAACCCTCTTTACGGTGAAAAATTGTAAAAACGTTCAATTTCACCCTCCATTTATACAATGCAGAATCGATGACCTATGTATAAATTTATAAGTATATATATATATATATATATATATATATATTACTACTACTATTATGTATAACTAAAAGAGTCTCAGTGTGTTAATAAAGGTAACTTATAAGTTTATCGGCTCTTATGCGATTATTTGATAAATATAAAATAAAATAATTTATAATTTTTGAAATATAATTTTTAAAAGTTAGTTGTCAACATTTTTATTATAGTTTTACCAATTTACCTTTTAAAATTAGACAATTTATTTTTCATAAAATTAAAATATTAGTACATTAATTTTATTACTAGTTAGTTTTTTTTTTAATCTTTTTATTACTAATAATTAATATTATATTTTGTTAGATAAAATAAATTAAGTAAATAAGTATTATTTTTAAAATTAAAAAATAATATTTAAATTAATTCATGTAATTTTTATTGATATAACATGTTAAAATTAATAATTTTAAAAATAAATTTAATTTATTATTTAAATCAATTATATCATTTGTATTAATAAAATCTGTTAAAATATTTTATATTTAATTTTAATATAATATATTTTTTAATATAAATCAATTAATTAGACAACTAATTTATTGAATAATTTAATTTTATAAATTACTTATATAGCTATAAACTTCCAACTAACCTTTGTATTTTTCATAAGCATATCTATTCTGGATCAAATTTAGCATTTGTTTATTCGAAAGTTACAAAATCAATTTTTGCACTTTGCAATAAAAAATATATGCTTTAATAAAAATATGCAGTTCAAATTAATTTATGCATGTAACTTAATCATATTTGATGGGCTAAAATTAATTCCATAAATAATTTATCATACTCAACTTTAAATCAAACAAACAAACACTTAACACAAGTTCACACACTTAACTAAACATGAGTAAAAAATAATTACTCATTCCATTTCAACTTAATTAATGTTTAAGGTCTTTATATAAGGATTAAGAAAAATAACAAATATCTTAATTAGTAAGATAATATTACTAAATTATTTTTATTATTTATTATCCTTGTTTAGTGAAAATTTGTCTTACACGATGCTAAAAATGATTGCATTCATTATTTATAATTAGAACAAAAGAATTAGTATTTTACTAAAATTTGTCTAATGACAGAAAATCCACTCAAAACTAAAATGAAAAGAAAAATTGTTTGAACAACACTGATCAAGTAAATGCATTGCATTGTTACATAATCAATAGCATAGCAGATATAAGAAATTGAAGAAGTGAAATACAAAAACGATGGTAGGTACCTGAATGAGCTCCATGAGAAAATGAACATCTTTGGTATAAAGCTCAGCGGAGAGATACTTGACACTTTGGTACATGTCCTCACGCAATGGGTTTGGGTTCCCCCCAATGGAGAACTTGTCTCTTCGTATCCTTTCAATGTGCTCCTTTGGTGATTCCATGACCTCTCTTCAGAAAATCACTATGAAACAAAATGTGAGAACGTGGGAATGAAGTGGGAAGAAGGGAACATAAAAGAAACGGGTTAAGTCTTGGTCTACTTAAAAGTGTTCAAAGACCAAGACTACTTCATGGAGAAGAAACGTTAAAAAGTGGGTTCTAATTATTGTACGAAAAAGGGTTTGCGTATCTCTGAATTCGTATTAAGAATTTTCCTTTTAATTTCCTCATCCTTTCCACTATCCAATGAGGAATCACCACCCATTGTGCTATCAATTTCCAAATGAGTTTATTCACCACCGTGCCTAGTTCTTGCTTTTATTTTAAGAAAATCTTTTATGCATTGATTTTTTTCTTCAAGTTTGGGTGTACCCTTTTAATGTGTCTACTTATAATATATTGAATTAATAGTTTAAGTTTATCATATGAAGTTTCATTGAATAAAAAACATAATAGACATGTTCTAATAGTACCAAATTGAAATTTTTTTATTTAGTTAATAAGAAATTAAAGAAAAAGCATTATTAAAAACTATTTTTTAATCTTGGGTGTACCCTTTCTGCTATTATTTCTCAATAATTATAAAAATATCATTCTTAATTTTTGTTTTAAAATGTTTATGTGACAATCAATGTAAAAATTAATAATTTTTATCAATTTTATAACTTTATTAGAAATATAAAACAGTATTCTTATCATTACCAATAAAAAAATATTGTATTCCTGTAAGTCTGTCAACTTTTTGCAAGATTATATTAAAATTACTTTAAATTAATTTTCTATTTTAATGTATCGTGAAATATTTAGCAATTATAATTGTAGTCAATGTCATCATGGAAGAACTGTTTGTGGTGTTTTTCCAAATCAATCAAAACGTAATATATAAATAATTCTAAATTCTTTTACTATTCATTCCTATGAAGAGAGTGTGTGAACACGTTGAAAATAGGTAAAACTTAAAACACTTATACTTTTTAATAACTTTTTTTAAATTATATAAATATTAAAGTTAGTTAATAGAACTAATAATATATTACTAAACAATAAGCTTATTGGTCCGTTGACGTTGACTGAAGACTTTTTATAACGTAGACCCGATGATTAATGATAACATGGAAATATCATCTCTGAATATTTGAGAAAAAGAAAAGAAAAACTATTAGGGTGATTTGTTATAAAATATGTAGTTTAAGAATTTAAAAGATGCATTTGAAAATGCATTCTAAATACAATGATTAAAATTTTGAATAAAACAGAAAAACCTGTTGGTAAAAAGTTTGCAAAAATAATTTGATTAAAAGTTCCGACAACAGATTTCTTGAACCTCTAAAATCACAGAATGAATTAACCTATAAAAAACACTCTAAATCTAATGACTTAATTAGCAAAAGTATGTAGAGATTGACAGGGGCTTCAACCCCTATATATTATACAACATGGTATATAACCCATAAACGTGATCACAAGGCCAAATGATAATGCTATATAATTATATTTACATAATATATTTTTTATCTAAAATATAAGTAATTTTCATAAAAAAAATTATTTAAGTTATTATTGTAAACGACAAAAATCTTTCTATAAATATTTGATATAATTATATTCACGGAAAATAATTCATTTGTTATGAGAAATTATAAAAATGTTTTTTTTATAACAAAGTACATATAAAGAATGAATATGTTTTTATTATAATTTTTGAAAATTTATAACTTATAATTTAAATGTAACATATTAGTCTAGGACTATACAGGTATTACTAAAATAAAATAATCTTTAAATAAAAAATAAATTTTACTGTGAAGCGTTTAAGTTTGAAAACTTCATAAATTTTAAAAGAACAAGTAATTTTATTATTTTACCAAAATAATACTTATATTATAATAATTACACTTTCTTATATTAAATAGGATTAAGTTAAAGAAAAAGGTTTTCAAGTTAAGAAAAAAAAATCAAATTCAAATCAAGATTGAATAAAAATAAATAAATATTAAATTTAGAAAAATTTAAATGACATCAACTAATTAATTAAAAATGTTTTCACTTAATATAACTTCATATGTTAACTTTTAAATATTAATTGTGAGTACAAATTATTAAATAAAAATATTTTTTGAAGCTTTTTTAAACAAATAGTACTGTTCTCATTATGCCATGTGAATATGAAATAAAAATATATATCATAAAATCATTTAATCTACATTTTGAAATAGAAAAATAAACTTTTAAAATTTTACCTTAGATGCGTATATGTAAAACTACATTGGTAATTTTAAAACGTAAAAAATAAATCCAGTCGTATTCTAATTAAAATAGTGATATATTATATAAAGCATATAACAACTAATCCAAAATTTAACTAAGCTCTAAAATTAAGATTAGTGCACCAAGAGGTCGGTAAATTTTATAAAAGTTAAAAAAAATTATCATTAATAAACATTCTATAATATGAAATAAGATTCAATAAAAGGATAATTTTTAAATTCAAAGCTAAATTTTAAAAAGATAAAAATTAAATTAATAATCAATTAAAATTTAAATTCTTAAATAAAAAACCCGTTTGTACAATAAAAAGAACAACTCCTAAAAATACTTCTACTTAAAAGTAAATAATTCAATTAATAAAATTTTTTAAATTTATATTGTCATCTAATCATAAACAGTAATGCAGTTAAAAATAGTTGACTTTTATGATATTTAGTTAAAAATCATACTCAGAATAATATTCAATTAGTTATCGATATAAATATCTTTACACGGTCTATGTTGATGAAAGTTATATATATATGTAAAAGAAATTCTTCTATTCTCCCACAAGTTTTAATAGTTTCTTTAGTAAAATAACATCAAAACCAGGACAATTTTTAATCAATGCAAAAAGCATGGATACGATGTAAAGGGCACTGATCAAAGCAACCATAGTAGTATAGCACAAATAATGGTTTTAGAAAAATTTTATATACCATGTATAAGACAAGATAAGCAAAGTTTTGATGTGATTGAAAATTGAAGGAAAGAAAATGAATAATTACTAACAAATAGTGCTAAAGACCAACAAGTTCAAACAACCTTAGCATAACAAGTATCCAACATAAATTTAGATGTTACACCCTTTGGATGTTCTTAAAAATTCTATATATCAAAAACTAAAAATAAAAACATTAATAAAATTAATTTATCAGAATAATAGATACATTTTTATAATGTAATTTTTTTTAATATTATAAGCATATACAAAAATACACCCAAAATAAAAGAAAACAATTTTTTTTTTCAATTTTGCTAATTCACAAAATATATATTGTCGTTTCTTCTCCTATTTATTCGGGAGAATACTTGACGATTTGGTGCTATATGGCTTCTGTGTGGTTTGTTAATTTGACTTTTGGATAGCCTATGCCACATGCATGCTGTTATTTGACTTTTGTATAGTCTATGTGGTTGTATATGATTTATGCTATGATGTCTGTTTGCATACATGAATTTAATTTAATTTAATTTTGACATATCGATTCATACTGTGAATCAATTAAAAGTATTTTACATATAATATTAAAGTAATTGTAAAAAATACTTTTTAGTAATACGATAATTTAGAATTAATTGAAAATCAAATACCTATAATTATTAGTATATTCAAGTCAAGTTCGATCTTTTATTATTTTTTATTTATAAGCTACTAGTTATCATGGTATCCCATTTTGGGTTTGCCAAGTGCATCAATAATGTGTTCCCCTGTGATATGAATAATCATTTAAGCATATTTTTAATAATCGATCGCGTGATACTTGGAATTATGTGAACAATTGAAAAAAAAATAGTAAACAAATAACATGAACACAATAACTAGTAAGAAAAACAGTCAAGCAACTTCAAATTTGAAGGATACATTTACATACTAGTTAAAATCGCTACCTAAAAGCATATTATGTACGAATAATTATTATTAGCATATCATGATTCTATGGAAAGTTACAATCACGAAAGAAAAAAATGGAGCCATTAGCATGTCCTGAAACATACCCACTTTGATTAACAAGTCCCCTAAAGTTCTGCTCCCCACTGTTGTTCATTGCTCTAGCAACTGCTTGTGGATTAGGAATGGGAATGGGAAAAGCCCCACCATAGCCATCCTCAGTGATTCCATCAGAAGTAACATTTGGGTTTGGATCAGAGGTCTTGGGAGCAAATTGATCTTCCATTGATTGCAATTCTTGTAGCACCTGAAGCCAAAGTTTATAGAAGGGATCAAAGCTTGGAATCATGTTAATTTGCTTTGATGCCATGTGTATCAAGTTCTTGTAGTCAGAATATGTGATCCCTTGCAATTCTGATCTTAGGTGCCCTCTTGCACCAAATAGCTTGTATTGCAACTCTGTTTGGGCTGCATACCTCTTGCTATAGGACATCTTAGCATTCTTGTCAATGCTAGCCATCAGTGTTCCATTTGAGAACACTGAGAACCCTTGTCCCATTTTTGCTAGTCTAGACAAAGCCTTTCTTGCTTATAACAATTTCTCTTCTCTTGCATAGAATTTGGTTGCTAGATTGAGGGCTATTAATGAGTATGGTATTTATTCATTTATATATCCCCAACTATTCTATCAAAATAGCTTCCTTTATTTTATCATGTCTTTGTTAAAGCAAGATACATTCATTTAAAACTAATCGTATATGTTCTCTATAAGTGGAATTAATTAACAAGATTATCTTCCATCACATTGTGGTTTAAGTATATATGCTTTTCAATCTAGTGGGCCTGTTTCGTTCAAAGCCACAAATTGGGGATTGCTGTCTCCACTACTTTTTTTCCACCTGCACTACCTTTTTGGTTGTAAAATCTTAAAATTAAATTTTAGATGTGTTTGGTATCTTTTGAAAACTAAAATTTGAAAGTAATTATGTGTAGAATTTAGCTTGTGGAAGGTGTACAATCACTTCTACTTCTAAAAATTTAATTCTGAAAAAATTAGTAAATTACTTTCATAATTTAGTTTTCAAAAAGTATTAAAGACATTTTAAAAAATTAAACTTCAAAAATTACATAAAAAATGTTTTGTGAATAGCAAAATTAGTTTTACAGAAGTAATTCCCCCGGAATTTCTAATTGCTATATGCACGATGACATATACAGGTCTACGTAAGCATTTGTAAGAAGAAACAATGATATAAAAATAAATATAACTTCTCTTACAGTTGATATACTTAAAGAATCTGACTATGCTAATTATATATGCTAATCTTATAGATATACACAACAACATTATTAAATTATACAACTACAATTTTTTTCATAATAAAATAATTTATACATAATTCTTACAAAATATCTGGGAAGTGGATCAAGATCTACCCTTACGCTGGATCCCTCCCTGGTCTGAGAAAATGGCCTCCACAAACATACCTCTTCCTTCTCATGTGTTTATAAAAAGGAACTATGAGTTATATTATATTCATGTTAGGATGGAAAAGCATCGATGCATAATTACAACTATTAATATAGAAATTACATATCCCAAAACAATATAATTGAAGTCCAAATTACCATTAAAAAGTTTCTACACACATTCATCCATACATAACACACTTAATCAAGACAACCCAAACCTACATAGATCAAATGTGAAAATACAAAGCATCAATCAATGCATTTTTTCTGAGTTACTTTCGTGAAACATTTAATCAATCTTTTTGGAAGGACCTTCTTAACTTGCTTCCCAAGCAGCTTGACCGAGTTTTCAGCCATCACATAAACAGGAAATTGAATTATTGCAAACACAGTGACAGGAAAAAAAGCAGCACTATATATCAAAGTTGAGCTCCATTTCTTCCATTCCAATCTAATCGTTAGCAACATGGTTGCACTAAATGCTAGCATTGTTGTCATCAATGAGAAGAACAACATAGCAAAACCCAAGTTCAATTTTCTTGGAAGAGACTTGTGAAAATCCCACAATTCACATGGAGATGTGAGGATTGAAAGGAACATGACCACTGAAGCTAGTGAGGTAGCAAGAGCCACAACATCCATGACAGTGAAAAAGAGAAAAACGGGTGAACGAAGGAACACAGGAGTACCTCCTTCAGTTCCACCAGGAATGGTGTAGGCTGCAGCGAACACAACAGTGGCAACAAGAACAGCAACAGTGGAACATGATTGAGCTGTTTCCTTTAACCATTTTTGTGCATTTTTAAGCATTTCATCATGTTCAAGCTCCAAAACATCTCCTGCTGTTTGTCCATCTTTGTCACAATGCATGTAGTAGTGATGAGGAACTATTCTTCTTACTTTCTGAACACACATCAAAGTAGTTATTGTTTAATCATTACTGCAGTTAGAATCATGTTATTTCAACGTCTATTTTCAACACGTACACTGTATAATTCTATTTTATTACACTTATTTTTTTAAAAGAAAAATCTATCTCATAATAACATCAAAATTTAAAAAATGGACACACTATAGCATGTCCCTAGCTGCATGGATATTTTTCACTTTAGATTAAGGAAATAAAAATGTAGATGTCATGTTATCATTCACATTAATTTTATCCTATATAATATAAGCTAAATCAAATGTTACAAAAGCAGATAATAGAGAAAATTAATAAATTACAAATAAAAAATCACACGATTGAAAATAAAAAAATATTTTGGAAGACTGAATTAGAATATTTAAAATCAAAAGTCAAATAAAATAATACAAATTTTCTAGGACTAAAAACTTAATAAGTCAAAATATTTTATATGTAGCAACATTATTTACTTATTAAAACAATAAAACAACTTGTTTTAACCGCTCTTCTTTAAAGCAAAAAATAAAATAAAATAAACTCAATCATCAAATCCAAACTAATTAACCCAATCATCATTAAGTTGAGATGGAATTCATTTTGATGAAATAAATTCACAATTCAAACCAACATAAATTAATTAAACAGTTCATTTTATTAGTTTTGTTCAAATCTGATTAATTCAATCAACTATGTGGTCATCCATGTTTTTATATTATGGTAAAATTTTAATTTTATTTTGATTATTTCTTTTATATTATTTATGTATAATGCAAATATATGAGATGTAAAGGGTTAATTAGCTACTTACATCATACCAACGCAACTCATCTTGTAATTGAAATGCCACTCCAGCTAAGTGGCTTCCTTTGTAATAATCCATCCTTGCAACTTGATGCAAGATTGTACGGCCTTCCTCAGTGATTCTAGCAACCAATGCTTTAAGTGCTTTTTTTCTTTTCAAGATTCTAAAGATTTCCTTTTGGCGGTGTTTGATGGCCATGTGTAGTACGTTTTGCCCATCCTTTGTAACATGACAAATAGCCCCAGGAGTCATATGAAGGATTTTCTCAACAATTTCTACAATTCCAAAACTAGCTGCTAAGAGTAGTGGTGTGTAACTGTAAGTAAGAGACTCTTCAAAATTCACTTGACTCTCTTGCCTCTTACATTCAATTTGCTTTCTCCTTTTGGCCACATTAAAGGGAAGAGGTGGCATTACTATCAATGTCTTTTTATAATCATTATAGGATATCTGCCATGATAAGTCCATTTGCACTAAAATATCTGCCAAACATTCTGCTAACATGTGCTTTTTCTTTTGCTTCCACATTTGATCAATCCCATCAAACTCTGCATTGTAAGGCAAGCTTAAGGTTATTTGTTAAAAAATTAATAAATTTTTTTATAAAAAAGTACGATAAAAATATTAATAATATTAAATGTTATAATTTTAGTTTAAATATGATTTTGGTCCTCACATTTTAATTTTTTTAAATTTTATTCCCTACTTTTTTTTATAAATTTTTGCTTTGAATCTCTAATGCTGATGTGGTAAATAAAATATTTATACAAAACAACACCTCAGTAGACCATATAAATGATAGGGACTAAAAATAAAAATTTACAAAAAAGTAAGGACTAAAATTAAAAGAAAATTGTTTGAATGGATTAAAACAAAAAACAATTGTTAAAATGTGGGGATTAAAAATATAATTTAGTCTATAATTTTTTATGTAATTTTTTTTAATTCTTTAAATAGTGTCTTATGACACTTTTTAGTATTCTTCAAATATAATATAGACATAACAGTAATTTATATAGTTCGTACCTTTTGCAAAGCGTTTCCAAAATCCATAGTTGATCTTTGAAATAGCTGCAGTTTTGGAAATTTCCTCCCAGGTCATTAGAGATGCAATACATACACAATTACATAACCATGCCTGTGTGTGTTATACTTAAAAGTTTTAGAGAAAACTTTCATGAGTACCTGATTTGGGAATTCTTCTTTCGTCTATTTTCCCATTCTCTAAATCTCTCTTATGTTTAAATAAATGAAGGCTTTCGTCATCTTCAATTTCATATCCTTCGTCAGGAAGCACTAGCACCCAAATCATAACCAATCAACATCGATTACACATATAAAATATAGGGGAAAGAATCTTTTTCATGTGTATGATATGTCATCCATGTTAATATTTTGTATATATTTCTTTCTTAATAAATATTAGATAGAGTCCACTTATTTAACATCTATGAAGAGAAAGATAGCCAAATAAATAAAGCCTTGTCACATGAAATTTAACATCAAAGGATATATTTCCAAAATGTGAGAAAATTAAAGGATATGCCCACTCATGTATATTTGTACGTCATTTTGAAATTTTGTGTCTATCTCTGAATATATCATAGTGACCTTTATTTGTAGGATAGAAATTCAAATAATTTTTTTAGTGTAAATTATATTTTAAGATTGGGTAATAGTATTGATGGCTATTATAGCTATTGAAAAGATACAAATTAAGAAAGTACAATGGTATATGAGACTCTTTACTAATCCCATGGGAGTGTGACTACGGAAAACTTGTGGCATTTTGGAAAGTAGCTGAAGACATGTAAATCCCTTCTGATTCTTTTCCGTAGCAAGTTCTTTGTCTATTCTTACTAGCCAAAGTGCAACATCTGCATAAAAAAATTATACTCAATATTTCACAAATAAATGATTATTTTATTGTGCATTTTAGTTAATTGATAAGGTAAAAAAGTTACAATCAATATATAAATAGATATAGAGAGATCAGAGAGAGAGAGATAAACCAAAATATTGGGCAATCACACTAGCGTGAAGAGCAGAATAATTGTCAGCTCTATGAAAATGATTTCGAATGTCTCCTAAATCATGTATGGCTATATACTTGGCCATATGCTTGAGCATCTTTAGCTTCCCATACTTTGCAGCCCTAAACAAAGGGGTTTCACCTTTGTGGTTTGTAAACTCAATTAGTGACCCCTTATTTTGTTCAGAAACTTCTTCCTTTGGCCATGGTTGTAGATCCTTTTCAAATTCAAAAACAACATCTGCCATTTTCACTTTTTTGCAAAATACAATATCATGTAGAATAGTGTTTCCTTCACGATTCCCCTTGCACAAAGCTTGCCACCTTTCTTCTTTTGGTACCATTTCTAGTAACTCTTTGAGGAGTTGTGGATTGTTAGAACGAGTTGCAACATGGAGGGCAGTGTTCCCAAATAGGTCAAACCACTCAAGTAGATTTTTCTTATCTTCCTTCATTATTTTCTTGAACTCTTGCCACTGATTTCTCATGGCAGCTTTTTGAGCATCCTTCATTTTATCATCAAATAATGAAGTTTCTCCCATTCTCTCTATTTCTAATTTCCTCTCCATCACATTCATTATCTCTGAGAATAGCACACTAGCCACCCTTAGCCACTACCTACGTACCCTCACTCCCTTGTGCCTTTATGTACTTAGAAAGTAGCTGGCACTCGAATAAATGAGAGCAATCCTTCAGGTTTACAAAATATTTATTTGTAAGACATATATCTTTTTTATTATGTAAAATGTAAGTTTTATTAAATTACATATATCTCCTTTCTCTTATTTAATAAGATCATTCTCCTTATTTAAAAAAATCCATGCCACTTATATTTTACCCAAGTCATGTAAAGTATGTTGACAATAACACGTTCAAAGCCATATTCCTCACATTCCTAAGCAAATATCATTGTAGTGAGATAATGCAAAATGATACCCAAAAAAAAAAAAAGAAACTGCTTTCTTACTTGTTGCTTACCTTTTGCCTTTCTCTTTTTCCATCTTTTGACTTGTTTTCTTTAATTATTGTGTTGGGTATGTCGGAGTGAAAATGTGATTTATTTTTGTTTTGTGAAATATTGAAAAGCCCTTAAAAACATATATTATTATAGGCACCTAATATAACATTCTATAAAAAAATCTCTTTAACTTTTTGAGTGGAATAATTTAGGAATTGTTTGTTTTTAAGTTCAGATAATAAAATTAACTTCAAATTGTGTTAAATACAATTAAGATGAATGTTTTAATTAATTTTAACTGTAAATTTATATTAAAATAAGTTATGGTAGGATGAATTAATCTTAAGTGTTCTCCAAATAGGCTCTTAAATGTAAAAGATTTATTCCTTATCAACGTGTTGAGATAAATTTTGTGGTTTGAAAGTTACATGTGATAGCCAAACAAAATGTCATATTTTACCTTTTTTTTTTTTAATAATTAAGATGAATAAGTAAAGCAATTATTTTTAGGTGTGCACACTCTTATGCATCCGTGAGTTTGAAAATATACTCAACAGTAGTTTTAATATTGCCAATATTGCTCAATTTGATAGAAATTTGATTAAAGTATTCAAATGAACCACGTAACTATCATGCAAAAGTTAATCATATAAATGCATCCTCGAATAAAAAGAGATTAAGTGTTCAATAATATTACCAACCCTACTCGTAACACGCTAAAATTTTAAATCCAAAAAATATATATTTTATTTTTTCATAGTTTAGAATAAATTACCACTTCTTGTGTATACTAAACTTTATTATAGCAAATTGATGAACTGTTTTTGTAAGATAGATTTGTTTATACAAATTTTTCATATTTTCCAATAATAATGGAACAATAATAAAATAAGAAGAAAAACAAATAAATATCACAACCCAAAATTAAGTATTCTCAGTGAAAAATCTAAATATGTATTATATATGTGAAATATAAGAATTTACAAATTGTTGTTTCATGAACGAGGAGAGTCCACAATATTCCGCCGACTCTGCATCTTGGTTATGTACCATGGTTTCCAAAACTTGCATTATGCGGTCTAAAATCTCATTCGTAACACCAACAGGTTTACCTCTATCGACTATTGATGTAATTCTAAAAAAATTAAATTTCACCCATCAACTTTCATTCTAACACATTTCACATAAAGTTCAAACCATACAAACATTTCAAACATCTCAAATAAGTCAAACAATTTACAACCATTAGGTTGTAACAATTCCTAAACAATATCACATAACGCGCCATCTCGATGAACTACTCATATACCCCAAGCTGGTTTGAATGAACTGCTCTGATACCAAATTATAATATTTAAATCAAAAAAATGTATATTTTATTTTTTTATAGTTTGGAATAAATTACCACTTCTTGTGTATACTGAACTTTATTATAGTAAATTGATGAAGTTTCTTTAAGACAGATTTGTTTATACAAATTTTTCATATTTTGCAATAATAATGGAACAACAATAATAAAATGAGAAGAAAAATAAATAAATATCACAACCCAAAATAAATATCATATATGTAAATATAAGTCTCAGAGTAGTCTCAAACATAACCCAAACTCTGAAGACCGGTCCTATTCATCACCCTCGCACTAGTTCTCTATCTCAGCCAAATTCTCAAAATCCAAATCATCATCTGATCTAAGATAACGATCGTCTGAATCAGTTGTGATCTCTGTGTCAGTCACTCGCTCGAAGCTCCATCTAGACAGTCTTCCAAGATGGTCGTGGTCATGATATGTAAACAGGTATGTGAGGGCTAGTGGAGTTCTAGCAATATCATTATAAGTATAGATACATAGGGTCTGATGTATTATATTCCTAGGAAAATCAAAGGGAATACTATAAAAGTATCCATCTCTAACATAACAAAAATCCTAGGTGCATTTTCAACAAGAACAACTAACTTAAAATAATAGAGTCTTTGATATTCATTAAATACATAATTATGCCTATTATGTACCAAGCTATCTAGTAGTCTAACTCTTTCCTGAGGCTTCATCATCTTGTTTTTTTTGAAAATATTAGTAAGGAAGAGCGTCTATTCTATCATTTATAAATTATTTTTCACAGAATCACAGGTTATCATATAAATACAATATATTATTTTCACATTTATTCATATTGCAAACATATTCACACATGCACCATTCAACAATTTATTATATATTATCCATTTTCTCTTTCCAATATGCACTCTCAGTGCATTATGATTACAGATCTCAATGCCTCCAACATTTCTTAAGGTCTTACTCAATTAGGTAAATAGTCGTCGGTTAGCCTATGCACATGGATACAACATATACAATAGTCGGGCCCCTTAGCAAAGGTATAGTCAGAGTCTAGTCAGGAAACGAGTGTGAGGCCATGTGATGCATTCACTCTCAAAAAGAGTATGTACACATACGTGAATGTCGCTCACCACCCTATGTTTCTCCCAGATTTCTATCGTCTCTGAACTTTATATCCCTAGTTTATCTCTGTAACTATTTATACTAGATCCAATCCATATTCAATATTTAAAGTCATTCTCAGAATTATCCTTTTCTCCATTCATAAGATTGTGTTTAGTAAAGCACTTCCATACTAAATCCATTCCACTTATACCCATTTTTAATGTAATTGCACTTACTAAATCCTTCAGACCAGTATTACATTTTATCATATTATTTCTTCTAAACATATTCCATAAAATCACATCATAATCACTCAACAAATTTATCAATATTCCACAATGAATACTCATCATATAACACATACCAGCATATAATAACTACTCAGTTCAAACAATCAAATAAGCATTTTTCAACCGTTATTCATGCAATATATACTCTTCAACCACATACTTTCATGAAATGTTCATATAATAGTGTTCTAATGAGCATAAAATAAATATTGTAATATAAACGGTAAAATAAAGCTTTCCTTACTTCAAAGACGAGTTTATAGAGAGATATTGAAGAAGATCAGAGATCAACTACGGAAGTTTTCCTCAATACCAAGAGATATTCATAAGAAACAAAAACTACAAGAAACGATCAGAGAAAATAAAATTTAATTTGAAGAAACATACTTAGAATCGTTCAGATTCAACGTCCAGGCTCGGATTTGAAAAGTAATCGGAGTTTCTGAAGCTTTTATCTAGGGAAAAGAAGAGAGAGTTCAGATAAAACTGAGAGAGGAATGTGAGTTTAGAATGAAATAAAATTTTCATGCTAAAAATGAAACACCTTATTTTCAATATTCATTAAATAATAATTTCGCAAATTCGGGATAATGAAAGTTCCATTTCAAATAAAGTTCTCAATCCATGGTTTCATCAAATATTTCAAAATGAGAAAAAGGGATTACAATCTTCATCAAAGCACTACTACAAGATCCTTTTAAATACATTATTTTCAAATTTATATCCTAGTCCTATAGCGGTTCCATCCACCCCTTTCACTGAGTCCGGTGCTGATCGTCTTGGTTACCTGAAAAATGAATGTAAGTGTGAGTACTCTATACTACCAAAACACACAACTGGGCATAGAGTCTCGCCTCTAAATCAAATTCAATACATTTATTCGAAAACAAACACAGACAACATTATCATTCAATATCGATGCACTCATGGCACTAACAGCATTTCACATTCAAAAATATAATTAACAATAATCCCATGCGCACGCACACCAACCACATCTACTGTGGCACTGTAGTCACAGATTTTTACCATAAATGGTCGTCAGTTACCCCCACCTCACGGATACTACATGGGCAGTCACAGGTCGCTTAACAAAGATAGTGGTCAGAGGTTTAGTCAGGAAGAAAGTGTGTGACCCGTGGTGCACCCGTTCCACAGTCAGTGTCACCACCACTCCCTCTTTCCCAAGGTATTTCTACCGTCCTCATCTTCCACACCCCTAGTGTATCGCTAAATCATTCACAGCACATTACAATGGCGCTAACACGCCCATTCACACATATTCCATTTACGCATGCAGTAATTATGCTTACACACGGCACACAGCCTACAATGATCGTTCATATTATACGTCCCTTGGGCCCACATTTTCAAAATATTCATTCAAATATATGGCACAAGTGCCCATACTCATTCACAACATTCGGCATACATGTCCTCATTCTATCACACAACATTTACATACAATTCACATCCATCAACTTTGGGTCAACATACATAATGTTCACATATCACGGCACATGACTTACAATACATTTTTCAACAATTTTCTACCCACTAACTCAGCCACAACACAATATTCAGCAACATAACAACAATTCATGCACAAAAGAGTAGGATAGAGTCCTCTCTAACCTCGGATTAACGTCCCACACGCTAATCCACCAAGAAGTGCTTCCCCTCACGGATTTCATCCTAAACACATGGAGAAATTCTATGAAAACCCAAGGAAACTGCAAAAACAGAGAAAGGGGATGAAAAACTGAAATCCTAACCATTAAAACTCACCTCCAAGCGTTCCCCACACGGATTTAACATTCAATCTATCTCCCGAACGGCTTTGGAAGAAATTTAATTGATGGAAAAGGGTTTAGGAATGAGAGA